ATAAAAGGGGGAGGGGAATTCTGAGTTACTTACTCTTGTTGTGTAAGCAGCCTCTGGGTCATCCTCTAGAACACGTGAAAGTCCAAAATCAGAAACCTTACACACCAAATTACTGTTGATCAAGATGTTCCGAGCAGCAAGGTCTCGGTGAACATAGCCCATGTCCGACAGATACTTCATGCCAGATGCTATCCCTCGAAGCATCCCCACCAGCTGGATAACTGTAAACTGGGCATCGTGTTTCTGCAAAGCATTTCAAATGTACAATTAAGATATGTTGCTATTTTCTAAAGATATGTCTTTTTTCAATTAAAATCTCATATACCAAATTTTGTAGCAAGACTGACTACACAAACATTAGTTCTAAGCCCTCAAGACTAGCAAGGTATGTGGATAAACAGATACAAGGTTAAAACAAAATAGCATAGAGGCTGCATTACCAAATACTTTGTACCAAAAAGTATTCTAATATTCTTTGATTTCATGTTCAAAACTAGGACTTTAATGTTCTTATGTGATATACAATCTCCTCCTCAAAAACATTAAGGTCAAGAACAACATAATGAAATGAATCTTGTAGTTATTTTAGGTTGATATTTATTTGTTTGATTGAATTTATATTCTTTCTTCTTAGTGTCCAGACATTTTATGAATTTTTTAATTTTATGATCCTTTTTTATTCAAATAAGGTAGATGTCAAAATTTTAATTATCATAAGTAATTAGTTTACAACTAGTAAAAATATTTATTGAATGTTTGTGTTTCAACCCAACCGTGAGTTATAGGTCCTAAAATAGAAAGCAAGAGGAGACAAAGTAACACAGTTCCGGATACTGAAAGTTTCCAGTCTACTTGGATTAACATAGAAATCTGTGGTTTATAATGTATAGGTAATATATTAATATAAAATTCCATATCTGATTATATCTAATGAAACGATAATTTTAAAATAATATTTTAAAAAACACATTTGTTTGGAAAAAATTAATATATATTTGTGAAAATAATTGCTTACTAAAATTTTTATTTGGCTAATGAATGTCAAAATAGAGTTATCATTTCTGATTCTTAGAAAATTTAGAATTTTCCTTAACGATGATGAATAATACTATAAATTTTTTCTATCTATATCTAATCATCCATCATCTATCTTATCTATCTATCTATCTCATTTTGGCTAATGAATGTCAAAATAGAGTTATCATTTCTGATTCTTAGAAAATTTAGAATTTTCTTTAACGATGATGAATAATACTATAAATTTTTTCTATCTATATCTAATCATCCATCATCTATCTTATCTATCTATCTATCTCATTTAATACAGTACTAAAAGCATCTTGAGGACAGGTCCTTTGTCTTTTCTTATCCCCTGCAGTGACTGGTGATTGGCAGTGTTCTGAACTCCATAACATTTTTGTATTTTTTGAACAAAATATTTGTTAAAAATATATTAAAATAAAATATATTAAATATATTATGTTGAAAAATATGTCAAAATATATTAAAATGTTAAGCTTCTAAGTGTAAAGAATTAAAAATATCTATGCATATCTCCAGAATGATACCTCTAAATTGAGAATATATATACTTTAACATTACAGTACATGCTTGTTTCCTGAGTGGACAGCACTGTGAGAGGTAGGTCTATCTTAGAGCAGACTGAGGTTACTTCAGAAAAGAGAAGGGAGTATTTCTGTCTTACATCAATGTTTTTATGTCTTGCTTTAGGGTCCTTTTTTATTTTTATGTTTATTTTAACCAGTGTGACACGTGGCAGTACAAAAAGGCTGGAGAAGATTACACAAATTTGTTTTAAAACATAGAACATTCACATTTGGATGCTATTTACAGTCTTCCTCCTGCTGTTTAGGCCCAGAAAATTTCAGTTTTATTTTAAATCTACAATACCTAATTGCTTGGCACAATATTAGAGGATGTCTTCAACATTTTCAGCAGCTCATTCATATACATCCTAGGGTACATCAAGAAGTTCATGGAACAATTGAACTAAAAGAAAATACAAACAGTACAACTGCTCTGCTGTGACTATGATACCTGGATAAAGAGGAAGAGGAAGTGGCTATTTCTAAGCTCAGTGTTCTGAAACCAGCGAGCACTAAGAACAGTTTCTATCCTCACACTTCTTAAAAAAGAAACAAAAAATAATACGAATTTCTCCACAAACGTTTTGAAGATCCCTTGTATGTGTGTGTGCATACATATATATGTTCATAAAATTTTTTACTTACACGTAAGAAACTGTCCAGGGAACCATTCTCCATGTATTCTGTGACAATCATAACTGGCTTACCTAGATGTATGGCAAATAATAAATTAAATGTACAATCATCAGTATAGTTCAACAACAACCATGTAATGAACATATATAATACACTTTGATACACCTGACCAGTACAAGATGTAAGAACTCTCCCTGTCCTCCAAATTCTACAACGTTGCAATTCAAAAACAAAACGAAACAAAACAAAAAACAAAAACCTAGGTTTCAATAGAAAATAAAACTAAATATAAACTGGAAAAGATTGGTTTTCAGAACAAAGGCCCATAACATACAGTATCTAAATTAGTTTATTTGGCATGGCTTTCAGTGAACAAAAAATATGCCTCTTTCCTTCTTTTAATTGCATGTTAGCTAATCTTCAAAATCAAATATTTCTGCCTTCAAGCCAAAGATAGAGTCAGGAATTCAACATTCATTTATTCTTTCTATAGATATTTAGAGAGCTACGTGCTAGAAATTCTTTTCTGTTCTTGTTAGAAGCAAGCAAATCAAAATCCCTACTTTCTACATGTCAGTTGTGCAAAATATTCCCTACCTTCTACATTTAAGTTGTACAAAATAATTATCTATAACGACAGGTACAAAACTATGCTATCTATCTTAAGTGAATCATTGTGAAGTTGATGCATATCTTGGAACAACACACTGTACCCTACAAAAATAAAAATAAAAAAATAGAAAAAGAAGAATAATAATTATAATCTTTTTAGCTGTATTCAATTAACACATTAAAAATAATGAAATCCAGTCTGACTATGTTTAAAGGAAAATTAAAGAAAAATTAATAGTAGTTACTTGGTAGTAACTTGTAATACCCATTTTGGAAATATGTGGCCTTTAATACCATTAAACCTTTTAACCCAGCATTTTAATGCGGGTATATAGCACTTATTCTTTGCAAGATACAGATTTAATTATTTTATATATACTAACCAATTGATTATCATTTCCACTTTACACATGAGAAAGCTGAGACACAGAGATTAATCAACTTGTTCAGTGTCACACAGTTAACAAGTTATAAGGCCAGAAGTTGCAACCTGAACACACTATGCTGTCACTGTTGAAAATTTATACTGAGGGAAACATTTAAAATATAAAAAAGCATCAGACACAGAAGTTCTAAATATACTGGATACATAAAGTTACAAATAGAATAAATGTTCAACTATAGGTAATGATTTAGTCAGTTGCTGAATGTCATTTCTATGTATTATTTCAAATTAAAATGATGACTCTGAAGACTGTAGCACTGTAGAATATTGTACAGTATAATGTTACATGAACAAAGCTGAAAATACAGCTTTGCATACAGTATGATAGCACATAGGAAAATAAGTAATGCAAAATAAACATTTCAAGATGAAAAAGAAATATAGAAAATTGATTTTTTTGATAAACAGGAAATGCTAGTACATTTTTTCCATAGTTAGAATTACACAGCATTGCATTAGGTTCTTGATACATGTTCCAACACTTAATCTTCACAGCACCCTTATGCTTTAGTAATATGCATTATTCCCATTTTACTGTTTCTTCACCTGAAAGCATTGCAGATTTAAGCAATTTGTTGAGGTCGCACAATCCACTAGTAGTTGAGCAGATCCCCAACATGGATCTCTCTGATTTCAAAGCCTACACATATTACCACACTGTAGTTCTCTTACTTCATTGTAGCTATAATGTTTTAATTATAAAGCCATCATGTTACAAGGAGGAAAGCCACTTCTCTACCAAGTTTGGAAGACCTGAGTCAAGTCTTAACTGAATACTACTGAAAGACCTTGGGCAAATAGTTTTTTTTATCATACATCAATGTACACCTAACTGTAGAACTAACATAATTTTTCCTCATATGTGTCTTGTATATCATGATAGTTTGCCATTCTGATGCTAGAAAATAGCCTCTTTTCTTGCTTTTTCCTTTCAGAGGTGAGAACTCTTAATTTATACTTGTAAATTATGGGTTAGTACCTGAAGGTTATACTTAGCTCTATTTAGAGACTTGAATAGAACCCCAGAAATCTGTCTTATTTATTGAGGTAAATAATAATAATAATTTTATTAATTTTTTCAGATAATTTTTTATAAAGGTAACAATCAATTGATATATTGATCTATTTTTCACTAAGACAATCATTGATTTATATTTTTTAGGTACCACATCACATATGTCTAGTTAATGTAGTAGTACATGAAAAGTCATTTTAGCCAAAATATTCAGCCTCCAGAAATTGCTTTTTCAAAATTATAACTAAACTTTGATTTGATAATATTCAGGAGGAAAGGGAAGAGTCATTATTTCTTTGGAAACTTTGATCTCTTCTGAACTAGTGTCAGATGTCTAAAGACTGGTCCCAGAGACCTGGCCTGGAATAAAATGAATGAATGAATGAAATCCTGCACATGCATGTTCTCCCTATATCCTCATCCCTTTCTGTGTTCCTTTCTTTATACAGTTCTGGGAAGAATAATATGCTACTGATATTTAAAACATACTTCAAATGTAGTCATAGACATTTTGCTTCATACCAAATGTTATTGCTAATTCTCAGCACTGGCCAGTTACTGTATTTGTGTAATATCATTCTTTTTCTTCTGGCTCCCAGCCTTATGACCATTTCATTTCTCATTAGCATGTCTAGTTGAACATTTGGCAAGGGATATAAAAGTAGATGAAAATCAAACAAGTCAATTATGCAAAAGTCTCATGACCATTCAGAAATCAAATCAGGCTTTATTTAATTCTATAATTTAGGTACTTGTAAACATATCAGCTAAGATAGGCAAGTCCAAAAATGTGCTTTTCATTCAGTTCAAAGATCAACAAACTAAATGTACAGATAGTAAATAGAATCACAAACTTTCTACCTTGGAAAGAAGTATCTTGACTTAGAGTTTCTCTTTTGATTTTGATGATGATAAATAGAGTTAAAGGAAAAGAGAGTCTACAATAGTGGTGAGAACTACTTCTAACATGCATTAAATGTAGTGGGAAATTATTTATAAAATACCAGCTCGTGCGCACAGTCTGCACTGTACTGGTACTCATGTTTGCGTTCTCTTTCATGTGCATTTTGATTTACCAGTGACATGATTAGCTTCCTCAGGATGGAGTCTATATCACTCACTGCCCTCAGAGAACCCCAGACACATCTGGATAAACATACTAAACTCAATAAAAATACTGTACTATGAATGGCTGACATAAAACTCTACCAAAAATGAGCAAAACAAAATTTGCAGTGGAATTTTGCTTTTGTTCTTGAATTGACTTACTAGTATAGACAAAATGGTGATCTTTCACCATAACAGACTAAAGGGAAGCAAATCAATCTGTTACCATCAGTTCATTTCCTCAAATATCCCCAGTGGCTCAGAGATATTACTAATCATTGAATCACTGCTTGATGACAGAAGAAATGTGATTCAAAATGTCTAAGAATTCTAGATTCAGCACTGGCTATTTCACCACAACTTTCTTAATCCCATATTCTATGAAAAGAAGCGTAGGATAAGGTGATATACACACACCCATATATTTATATATAGTTAGATACAGAAAAATTTTGTTTGCCATCTTCAAATTTATGTGGGTTTTAGATTTAAATGTTTTCATTCAAACATGAAAATATTAATCAATTGTTGAAATATTACAAATTATTGAAATGATTTATTTTTAAAGGAAATATTAACAGCAGTTATAATGTCTAACACTCTACATCTTATTTTCAAAAGACTTAAACACTCTAAGATATGTGTATAATTTATAAAATCAAAATCTTCGACCTTAACAGCCAACAGTCTGCAGTTAGCATCATGTAATCAGAATCAAGGTTGAAGCAAAAAAAGCTTGAACAGGAGAAGGAAAGTTGGAGAAAATTGACAAAATTTGTCTTACTATTCCCAGGAAAGAAGCCTTGAATCACCTTCGATAAGAAAGAAAATGTTTTAGTTATAGCTTTCACATATTATACCAAACTAACTGATGAAAATATTGTAATGAACTGAATCAGAGTATTTTTCAGTAGGTTTTTCAATAAATCATTATAAAAATATAGGGCAATATTTTTCAAATTCCATTTTATTCAAAACATTATTCTGTTGAAATGACCTCTACGACATCTACTGCTCTATGAGTTAATGAGAACAGAGGATGACTCCATTTGTCTGTAGTTCTAAATCCAGCACCTAGTAGCGTACTGGTTACAGTTGATTAGATCATGTCTATCACTTCAGACTGGCTAAAGATAATCCCTCTCTCCCAAATCAGGCTGAGAAACACTTTCTCCAAGTCTTCCATATACAACTATATTCTGTCAGTCTTAACATACAGAATGCTTTATATTCAGTTGAATTTGTATGTATGATATGCTAGTAAACAAATTAAAATTAAAATGGTTGTTTATTATCTTCATCTATTGATATTGATTATTCTTTTCATCTATAAATGTTGTGATTTTTTCAGGATTGTTAAATATTAAACCAACTTTGCTTTCTTGGAATAAAATAAACTCAGGCTGGTATAGTAACTTTTTTAGTACATCACCAGATATGACTTTATGATTATTCTAGTTTTATTAAATTTTTGTTCATTCATTAAAATGACCTGTTAGTTCATTTTCTGTTAATACTTGCACTATTTAGTATCAAGATATTACTAGCCTCATGAATAGGTGTGTTTCATTTTCACCCTTTCTGCAAAAGTTTATGTAAGACCAGAATTACTCAGCTTTTAAACTGGTGCATCATTACATTTCTTCTTCCTTTCGGAGAGTTACCATATGGTTGAATTATTGCTCTATAAAAGATGGTCTTTGGCCACATCCTAGTCATGCTCTAAAAATTTTGTAAGTTGAATTTAATCTCACGAAAATATGAGAGTATTCAAAAAGTTCATGGGAAAAATAGAATTGAAAGATAAATGAATCTATCCTTGAATTTTTTGAAGTCTTCTCTTATAAGAAAATTATCTTATCTATATAAATGTTAAAAATACACACCACCTCATCCCTTTATAACTTAAGCTTGCCAGTTCATCCAAGAGACATAGTGGACAGTGATGAAGAAATAACAGAAGTTCTTTAAATATGCAAAACTAACATTCCTGCCTTATTTTTCTCCAGTACATTGAGTAGAGATTTTCCTAGTTTGTTGATGTGGTCACTTAGAGAGACACTTTCTGAGCTCATTCATCAATTTGAAGTCATAAATGCATGATGACTTGTCTCATCAGAGTTTCCAAAATTTATTTTAACAAACTATTTCTTTAAAATATTAGTAAAATAAACATAACATATGTACTCTCTATTGAGAATATGACATGAAGTACTGCACCCTCAAGACAAGTGCAGAAGAAAACTTTTAGAGAGAAGAAAACTTAGTAAAATAAACATAACATATGTACTCTCTATTGAGAATATGACATGAAGTACTGCACCCTCGAGACAAGTGCAGAAGAAAACTTTTAGAGAGAAGAAAACTTTTAGAGAGAAGCAAACAGAATACATGAATTTGACATTGTTACTAAAGTATGACATCTTATTCCAGCAGTGTTTTCTTATCCTGTGTGCAGGGATAGGAATGTGCAAACCAATGGCTAAGCTTTTGGTGCAAAGTGGACACTCTCACCAATATAAATATGTTTTGATTATGAGAAATACTCTCAATGTTCTTCCCATAACATTCTTCAATAATGCAAGGTTACAGTTAACTTGCATTGTAATTTTTCTTAATTTCCAGAAAATTATCCAAGAAAAAAAATATATTAATCTTATCCAGTATAATTCCTTCTATTTCACTAGGTGAAAAGTGGCCAATTGAAGGTCTTCTTGGAGTCTGAATGTCATTTGACTAATAGTGTGATGGCAGAAATATCAAACATTTGTTAAAAACAAGTTCCATCCTTTTGAACTTCAACTAAAATTGATAACACATGTCAGCACCTAGTTCTGAGAATAGACTGTGCCCCCAGATTTCTGCTACTTTGAAGATCAGAGGCTCTTTCACCTCTTATTTAAGACCATCAGGCTTGAAACATACCATTAAAATTGTTTATGGCTCAATTCAAACAAGGGAAACTATATTGATTGAATAAAGGGATTTCTCTAAATGACTTGACAATGATACATTATATTAGACCTAGCGTATCAAAGTACACAATTAATAGCAATAATAAAAATAATTATCTTTGAGAAAAGACAGAGAATGTTTTCAAGAATTTTCTTCTATATACCCAGGTTAATTGGTGAAATTTAAACTCATCCAGAAGTGGTAATTTAGATTTGTGTAATTCTTTGCCACTTGAAGTATTCATATGTAATCTCATTTGATCTTCCAAGTATCTGAAAACAGTAAAGTAGAACTGTTAATTCCTTGTGACAAGTGAAGAAGTGAGTACCTGAATGGTTTGATTTACAGGAGGTCTCACGAGTAAGGGTAAGTCAAAACTTGAACTCAGATCTGCTGATTCTTAACCTAGATACTGATATGCTTGTTTCTCTTCTTTACAATTTTGTTGTATCACTCTAGCTGTGTGTGTGTGTGTGTGTGTTTGTGTGTGTGTGTGAATATGCATGTGTTTTTGAACTCTACAGGTAGATTGTTTTAGAAGTCATATAGTCTCAGGAAACAAAATAATCGAAGTAGAATAACTTCTTTTGGAGACAAAATTGCCATAATTCTACATCAAATGCAACATTTTTTATGTAAAATGTGTTATGATTTTATTTTGTGTTGTTTGTTCTTTTCATTCCAAAGAGGATTCTAAAATTGAAAATCAAAGTTTTCAATGAAATTTATGTAAAATGTGTTATGATTTTATTTTGTGTTGTTTGTTCTTTTCATTCCAAAGAGGATTCTAAAATTGAAAATCAAAGTTTTCAATGAAATTTATGTAAAATGTGTTATGATTTTATTTTGTGTTGTTTGTTCTTTTCATTCCAAAGAGGATTCTAAAATTGAAAATCAAAGTTTTCAATGAAATTTATGTAAAATGTGTTATGATTTTATTTTGTGTTGTTTGTTCTTTTCATTCCAAAGAGGATTCTAAAATTGAAAATCAAAGTTTTCAATGAAATTTATGTAAAATGTGTTATGATTTTATTTTGTGTTGTTTGTTCTTTTCATTCCAAAGAGGATTCTAAAATTGAAAATCAAAGTTTTCAATGAAATTTATGTAAAATGTGTTATGATTTTATTTTGTGTTGTTTGTTCTTTTCATTCCAAAGAGGATTCTAAAATTGAAAATCAAAGTTTTCAATCGTAATAACTTCGTATAGCATACATTATACGAAGTTATACGAAAGATTTTTAAAAATCAAGATATAAAAGAATAAGCAGAATATAAGAATAAAAAGTAGAAACCTATTTTTGTCCGGAGTTGGGGATAGAGGTGAAATAAACAGAACAAGCTTTCAATGTTATCTCTAGAACTTTTCAGTTAGACAAGCTACTTATAAACAGTTATTGTTTGCTCAAATGCAAAATAGAAATTATCATATCTAATTCACAGGGTAGAGATACGAGTAAAATAATGCCATAGCACAATACCAGGCAAATAACAAGCATTTTATAAAGAAAAACTTGTGAAAGTTGAGAATTAGGAGAATGGCTGCATTAGTACAATGAGTTTTCTCTCTCCAGTGGGACTCACGACCTGAAGGACAACTACTTGATGAGGATGTCATGGAGGGAATTAAGTGGCTAAATAACATTAAAATCCCCATGAGACTTGATACTGTAATTCTATAGATATAAAATAGTAAAGTCTTGCCTTGAAAGAACAAAAGATTGATAGATTTTCTCAATCCTTACTGCTACTAACAGTGTTATTAATTATTAATTTAAAAATTAAAAAAAGGTTTTTAATTAGAAACTATTGTAGTGTTACTACTAGCATGGCCTGATTGTTTTGGGTGTATAGAAACAAAAAAAACATAAATACTTCTTACAAGACTTAATATGGACTTATGGTTAAATTACTCCACATTGTTAAATTCTTAATCCCATTTATTATGTATGAAAACTCAAAAGGAAATCAAAGTATATTTCAGTTATATATTTCAGTGCTCCTATGAGGAAGGAAATGCCTTTTTAGTCACACTAAAGTGAGAATAGCTCTTAGTGCCACTTGGAAAGTGCTCTACGTAGAGTTAAGGAAAAAACATCATTGTGAAAAACATAGTGAGTAAGGTCTGTTGGTAACCATAGAGTATGTTATTGTGGTGCCAATGAATTATCTCCTAAAGGATGCCAAATACCCTGCCATATGCTGTCTTTCACTCCAAGGGGTTCATTGCCAATTCCACTTATTCTTCATCCTGTGCTCCAAAACCTTGAGGAAAAAAAAAAGTCCCAGAGCCTTCCCAAGAGGTTTTCATTGGGATTGGAGCCAAAATTCACAGATCTGCCTCCTGGGATCCCTTTTAAGCCTGGCTGGAGAAACCATCATGGAAAGAAGTTCAGATCTCTATCACGGGCTGTGAGCCATCGCTTCCCCAAGCAGTCAAGAATTTACCTGCGACCCTAGATCAGAACGATTTGAAATCCACAGAGAACCAAGAAAAGGTGTTTGGATGTACTGTGATCCAAATCTTTAAATCTCAGAAGCATTTCCAAGACTTCCATAATTTTCCTAAAGGCAGTGGGGTGAGGGCGGAGTAAACAATTGGAAGCTTAAATCGAGCTGACGAACAATAAAAGAAAAGGCAGCTAGTTGGGAGTTCCTGTTAAAATTGAGTCATCGTTTTTCCTTGCTACTCTATATAACAGAAAGTTTCCCACAATTCTCTTCCTAACTATCTTTTAATCAGCCTATCTTTAAATAGTCCAATGTCTAACCCCTAATATATATATATATATTTTTAATTTATAAAATCTAGACTAGAACTTTAATATAATATTAGTAAATATCTTTGCTCTATTGTCAAAGAAAGGCATGTTAATCCCAAACTGGTCTTTTTGTTAGAACAGAAGATACTTATGAGAAAAGATACTTATCAAAATTCTGAAAGGATTGAGTTTGGGTTTAAACAATCTTTGCTCAATACACACAAAAGCAGGTTCTATGACATTACTTACTTTTAGTAACAACTCCTTCCAGCCGAATGATATTGGGATGGTCAAACTGTCCCATAATGCTTGCTTCTCCCAGGAAGTCTCTCCTCTGCTTTTCTGTATAGCCCACTTTCAGGGTCTTGATGGCCACTGAAATCTCTTTCTTTGAAGGAAGTTTTAAGCGACCACTGCACACCTCTCCAAACTCACCTGTTAGAATGCAGAACACAAAATGTAAGAAATTATGTAGTAAAAAATTATCAGTAGAGAGGGACTGTTTCTTTCTAATACTTCCTTTGCAAATATGTATGCCTTTGACCTACAAGATGTACACTATAGGCCTCCAAATTGTTTTGGAAGATGATAACATGAGATCACCTAGGAAACCCCCGGACATCCATATCCTGGTGGAAAATGGGCCTGGTAAGAGGCTCCACATATTTTAAAGCATCATACTATGAATAATACAATATAAAAAAAGCAAAAGGAAAATTGAGAGTTGTTTCTACCAGGCTTTTTATTCCTTGTCCTCATAGCTACCATTTTCTTAGGGTTATCAAAGGTCAGCATAGATACTATGTGTTGAGCACTGGATTAAATTTGAGATGTTTTGAACTAGTTAATTTTACTAAGAAGGCTAATTTGGCTATATACTCAGAGTCTCTGAAAATGAGAATAAAATCATTTGCTCTCAATTCAGTTTTATGGAGCATTGGCGTGTTGCATGATTGACCTACCAGGTATAAAATTTTTTAGGCTTCTGGGAGAAGTACAATAATATAACAGTATCAAAAAACATAGCATGTCTTATCTAAAGTATGACAGCAGAAATATTTTCTTAGATTCAGTGTCTTCAATTTTCTTTAAAAAAAAAAAGTTTTCCTAAATGTGAACTTAATCCAGAATTTGTTGAATATGAGACTTTTAAATGTTCTAATCCAATGGATATAAAATCACCTAGGACTAATATAAATTTATTCTCCCAGGAAGTCTCTCCTAATATAAATGGTTGCTGAGAAGATTTACGCATACCTCTTTCATTAGACTTTGAGCTTCCTGAGAGCAGAGACCCTTTACATTCATTTCTATGTCCCCATGGCTGCCATAATGATTGCCACAGAGTAGTGCCAACCATAGAATGGTCTTTGTTCACTCCTATTGTGTGGAGTATTAGATCTGTTTTGCATCACATTTTAAAAAAAATGGTTTTTCATATTAAGTGAGAGTTTTTTCTGAAATATTCTAGGGTTAATGACATTATTATGTTTTAGGCTCTCTATGGATTGTAATAACATTCTTTTTTTTGTTTTTCCTTTTCTTTTTTTCTTCTTGTCTTTTTTACTGACCAGTAACGGGATCGCAACCCTCGGTGTCGCGCCCGCACCGCACTCAGCCAGTGAGCGGAAACCAGTCTCCACATGGGATCCGAACCCTCGGTGGGAGCGCCACCGCGCTCTCAAGCGGCGAACTCTCCAGTGCGCCACCGGGCCGGCCCTGTAATAATATTCTTAGTCCAGTCTTCTCACTGTTAATTGTCTATGCGTTTCATGACCTATTTATCAGCCGGAGAGAATTGAGATAATTCTTCTCTATTTTTGTCCACTTGAACCAAAAAAAAAAAAATGGTTTGACCCACAAAGTAGCAGGCTTTTCTACTGATTTACCTACTTTGTGAGTACAAATGACTTGCCCATTTCCAGGAAGCTCTTTTCTCCCCCAGATTTAACCCTTTCCCAAGAATCCTGTCTTGCTACTGTTTTCAAAGCAATGTCTTACACTGTATGTTGGCAAAGTTCAAGTCCAAAAGCTGATATTTATGCATTTATTAAAAAAAATACTCATGAACTAGCAACACTATGGCAGACACTATGAAACACATGAAGATATAATGCCAAACAGGCAGGACTAGTTTCTTCCCTTTGAGGAAGTGTAGAGAAGATAATGTCTTCAGCTATAGTGTTCCTTATGATGATAGGCAGAATTAGAGAGTGAAACTTAGAAAGTC